ATTAAAGAAGTGCTGATGATTATGAGTAATTTCAAGTATTAAAAACATTAGTCAGTATCAGGCTCTATCCAGTATCAGGCTAAACTCTTTTCTTCCATTTAGCCAAAAGTTTTCAACCCATGCTTTGTTGAATATGAGTTCAAGTTCAACCATCATATGACAGTTTCATCAACTGTTCTGTTATCTTTGCTAATAAGCCATCTGGCAGAGTGTCATTTTCTACTGAAAACAGGTGTTTGATCCAATTCTCATTTGTTTTACCGTCAAGAAAGCATTCATTGACATTGGTGACTAAATTCAGGCAATGCTCTTGTACGTCAGCAGAAAGACAGGATGAATTTTGAATTAATTTTCAATGAGAACATTTCCATGGTTAAAGCATTTGCCATTTTCTCCCATGCTATCTCTCAGTGCATCTCATTGCATTTTAAGATGCAATTGCTTCATCTTGTCCTTAGTCTGTATTCTAATTTTTATCTAATTATTATGCTCATTCAAAAACACTTAGCTCAATCAAAATTAAAATCTCCCCCCAAAAAATATATCCCTTACAATAGAATTCAGATTTTTGCTTCCTATGTTACAACCTTCTCGGGTTTACAGAAAAGGGTTTTGATGGTCATCTCCCACTTTATTACAAATACAAAAAGCAAACAGAGCTTTAGCTCTAACGAAACTAGGTATTCTAACAGCAAAACAACACCAGTGGCTGACAGGCATTTTGACAACTACTGCTTTGTGGTGAATATTGAATGCTCACTGAATTTGGCAATAGGTGACTCTATTTTTTATCAGAACTGCATAGTTATTGCAGTGATCACTTTCCAACAAGAGCACCTGCCAATGTTATTCTACTGTGAATCACAAACTCAATTATATGAAAAAAAAAATTGCTGTTGGAGGTCTTTATGCAGTATCACAAAACAAGCATTTTTTTTCTTATCTTCTATTTTATTCTTTAGCTTACATGTACAACCTGACCAAAATTAGCAATAGGACTTTTGTCTTACTACCGCGAAATGAAATTCTGTAACTGCAAATATCCTTTGGGCTTTGAAAAAGCCCAATCTGGGATCCTTCTCGACTCTAGTGCCAGGTAAAAAAATTCCGTCAAACTAAATTACATCTCTGTCTCCATGTCTGGACATCACAGAGTTGTTGTGTCCCTGAAAAGATACAAATATCAGAAATTCTTGAAGGTTTTCAATGTGAGCAATCCCTGAAATTATGTGATACGACTCTTTTAAGCAGTTCACATTGAAAGTTGGCATTACATTCATTTCATTTAGCTTTCTTTTTAAGAAGAAAATCAAGAGGCTTATCTTTTCAAGAGCTGTACTTTGTATCAAGGCGATGTTCAAGTAGGGAAGGTTTTCACTATATGATTGAATAACAGCTTATAGAAGTAATGTCCTAAGGCACTGATTCATTCTACCACTCAAATAAAACCCAAATGATAAGTAGCAGGGATCACGCTTTCTAACAGTATTAAACTCCTTAATGTTTCCAGGAGGAAGTCTAATAGCTGTGCTTGAATTCTTTTCTATTCCCCATCTCGCAAGCCATTACTCAGTTCAAGCTTATTTTATTAACCAGTTTTTGCTGTGTTTCTTTCTGGGTTTTTTTTTCCTGCAGCTACCTGAGTTAGATGGATCCCCTTAGTTTACAGAGAGTAAACAAAAGGAACTGAAACTGCTCTATTATCAGTATATATCTGGGGATAGTTCACATGATTAGAACATTAAAATCTATGGTTAGGTCCTATTTAGGAAGAAAAGGCAAGGAGATGAAGACTTTATTGGAAAAAAAAATGGTATAGTGTATTTTTAAATCATTGACAACTCAGCAGCAAATGATTTTTAGTGTTTTTTAATTAGTTACCCAAACACAGTGGAAAACAAAATAAGTCTCCCCAAAAAGCGCTTCCTAGAACATGTTAGAGGGAAAATTTCCTTATAAGAGACATAAACTAAAAGTGAAAAGCATCAAAAAGCCATACCAGATCAGACTGAAGGTCCATCTAGCCTACTGTCTTCTCACCAATAGGGACCAGCAGTCTCAGGGAAGTGAGCTGAGAACAGTGAAAACTTCTACAGGATCTCCCTGCCTTCCATCTCTCTGAGGTTCAAGGACTTCTAGAGGGGGTAACTTTGATTTTATGTTACATAATGCCTGTATTAGGACAACCTCAGAATATCTAATTATTACGAGACAGATCAGGATTAAGGACCTAAATAGAAAAATATGCACAATTGGGAATTATTTAAGAAAATTTGACAAAAGAGCCAAAACAATAACATCTCATGACTGAAAAAAGATAATACTAATTAAAAAACAATTTGGCTTAAAAAGGAGGATATATAAAAATGGGGACAAAATCTATAATCTATAATAAATACTAGAAGCTATAAATAATATATCTCAGAAAAGTAAGAATTATAGAAAAATGAGAAAGGAAACAAAAAGACATAAAAGCCAGCAGTCGGACAGAATTAGGATTAAAAGAGCTATTTTTCTATATAGAAGGAAGCAAATGATCCTAACAATAGTCCTGGAATATGTTTGCCTAGATATATCAAAAGCAATTGCAAGCCTTCAGTAAATATCTCTGTTCCATATATGAATAAATAATCAGGTAATGTAATTACATCATAGTCCGATAACAAAATACTCTCCATTACAACTGCAGCCAAATAAGCATTATCAATAGTAGCCACTAAAAACAACTGAATAAATCTGCATATCTAAGTAATATGTATCAGAGTTTTAAAACAGCTGGAAGAGGGCATTTGAGGGCCACTAACAACCTGAAACATCTGCATTCTGGAAATACATCAGACAAGTATTTTAAAAGAGTCACTGTGGTGACCTAGGGACTTATAGCCTGTCCATTTAACATAGATTTTAGTAAAAAACTGATAAAAGCCTACAGGAATGTGATTTATATGCAATTGAATTAATGCTCATCAACACTAGTTTTTAGTCAATCTAGTCTAATACTTGTTTGGCTGATAAAGAAAAAAAAAGTGATCTAAAGGCCTTTATTTTGTGCTGCAGTGTGTTTTGTTCAATGAATCAAAATTAATGCACGTATATTTAGTGGCTAATTGACTGGTCTCAAAATTGAAATGTGAATGGAAAATATTGATTAAGTGAATTTCTAGCTTGGAATAGGAACTCATGGGAACTGGGTTTTGGCCACGTGCTATTACAGTTTTATCAATTACCCCTCCTCAAAAAAGCAAAGTGGTAATACTGATAGATAACAAAGACTAGGGAAGTGGTAACTAACAAAGGGAACAGCTCATTGGTACCAAGCAATCTCAATTCTTGGTAAATTGGCTACAAGCAAATACATGAAGTTACACATCTAGGCATAAGGAACAGAGGTGGATTCATGGAGCGGAGGAATCTATGTGGGAAAATAGCAAACTGGAAGACAGACCTGCCAGGAGCCTGCTAGATAACCAGCTAAAGATGAATCCCTCTGCAACACTGAGGCCAAGGCAGAAATTCAATCCATCAGCGTATAAACAACAGAATCAGGACTGTTAGGATGTTATAGGCAGGCTGAATCACATCAAGGCCCGGTACTGGCGTGACCATTTCTGGAACAGCGCGTCCTGTTTGATGCCGTAGCTGAAGAAGCCTGTGGATAAACTGGAAAGGATTCAGGGAAGGGTCACAAGAATGGTTACACTGTAATAGGAAAATAAAAACTACATCTATTTAACTTACCAAAAAGAAGGTTAAGGAGTGACCTGATCATAGCAGTGTTTTTTTAATATTTTTTCCCTGCAGATTGAAATATGCGTTCTCAAATTTTTAACTGACAGCCTTCTTTCTTCCCTCCCAGGATTTATACTTCGCGGTGTGCCACAAAAGTTATATAAAATGGCAGTTCTGGAGCTAAGTGAAAATTAAATCTAGAAATTAGGTTCTGCCAGGAAGAATTTTCGCTACTTTTTGATCAGTGATTTAGGTCACTTAAGTAACCTGTTTAGATATCGGTAAAAAAGAAAAAAGGTTTAGCAAAATGCAAAAGAAAAGGGAAGGAAAATAGCAGGTTAAAAATACTCTAACAAGAGAGTTCAGAAAATTTATCTCTAAAATGGAAAGATCTTAGCAATCTTGTATTAATTTACAACACACTAATGGACAAGGCAAAATACAAGGCTGCAAAGAAGTTGTGCATTTACATTAAAATGCATACTATTTCTGGATCAGAAACATATTGTTCAGCATATTGTATTAAAAAGATTGCACATATTTTTTTTACTTGCAGAATCTACAAATTCAAACTGTCCACATATATTGCACCAGCCTGTTAAGTGGATCAATCCAAGAACATTAGTTCTGATTTAATAAAGACACCTAGCAGAGCAGCAGCTTACATGAAAAATTACAGCCACTGGTGCTTGAATGGGCACTGGCCTCAAAAATGAAGAAAACTCCTATGCAGTACTATGGGATTCCGACACGATTTTTGAAAACACAGAACCTAATGAAGTCTTGACCGAAGGCTAAGGGTGCTACCGAACTGGTTTAACCGAGGAGAAGCCCCAGAATGACATATTACTGCCAATCCCATACTAATTTCTTATTAGTTCAGCTTCACAGATTTACTGGAGGAACCAATGAGAATGAGACTGGAATCAGCCCTATGGTACGGAGTCCCTAAGCAGATTCAAGATGAATTTCCAGAACTATTAAATTATCATTTAGATAGCAAAATTTTGTACTTTCCGCTGTAGCTCCTTCCCTGCAGAAGAGGTAGGAAGTGGTAGAAGTATCACCGAAGGGACCCTGCTGCCTGCCCCCTCCCAGCAGCAGGAAGAGCTCCCTGTACTACCAAGACTGGGCAGCGCTCTCAGATTCAAACCCGTGTTCCCATTTCCGTCAGCGTTTTGGGGCCAGTGTTATTTTCACTGTAGGCAGTAAGACCATTTCATTTCCATCCACACGCTTGATCAGATAATGTTAAATGACAAACAGCTAACCTGCAAATCCTCCGGTTACCCATGCACCTGAAATGACAAACAGTCCAGCTTTGTTAGCCCCTTTAATTAAAGCATTCTTAGTCTTTTGCTGCTGATGGTCTGCAGAGCCGGCCAGAAGCGTCCGCCCATGACCCTGCTTGCTCCGCACATTCCAACAACGCATGGATTTTGCAAATCAAACTGCTTTTAGAAGAGAAGCCACGGTATTAGATCCGAAAATGTTATTTCCAGATACATTTCATACATTCGGTCTGACAGATTTTCAAAATGGTAATATGTTTTTCTGAGGTGGTAATTTTTGTAACACAGAACTGGAGTCTGTGCAATAACAGTAAAATTAGCTCAAAATCATTCTTTTTTGCAGACCATAATTCAGATGTGCATAATGATAATATTTTTATGGCAGAACAGTCAGAATTTTTAATCTCTGTTAGCATAATCTGACTCAGCGAAATGGCTGGGAGGTTATGGTAAAAATAAATAAACATCAGATAAGACTTTGCACAAAAAATTCACAGTCCTGGGGAAGAAGCCAGAATGCATGCAAAAACTTGGAAAACATGTGCAAAAGAATATTTTTCTCTGTCAATCCAGGACACTGGATGGGATACTAATTTACCCATAAATGCTGAATACATGAAAGTATATATGCTGAAAGCCTATAAATGGAATTCTTCTGAGACAATGCAGGTTTAGCTGGATCTTTGTTAGTACAAATTAAAAACATAAAAATTAAAAACATGTAAAATTGTTAAGTCTCCTTAGCTCTCTCCTCCCAGTACGATATCTTCCATTAACCCTGTCTTAGGACAGATGTTATTTTCAGAAACTATCTATTTAATTCACTCTTCTTCCCGTCAAGCTTCATTTAAGGTCAAAAGCAACTATTTCTCTTTTATCTTCTGACTGGGACACTGGAGACTAATCTAATTTTTACTCACTTAAGCAATATTAAGATACTAGACTTCTACTTTACAATTAATTTACATTTGGATATATTTAAATCTTACCGAAAGAGAGTAGGGTTAAAGCTGGATTCAACGTTTCATCACAGGATGAGAAAGACTGCGTGCAGGTGAACGATAATTAAAACCTCGAGCAAAAACTAAACTCTTCCTTAAACATAACAGCTATTCCAATTCAGTGACATGACTGCAGCTTGCTTTACTGGACACCACTGGATTAATGGAAAATAGAGCTGGAAAAGACCTTAAACTGTCTAATCTGAATCTCTTTCCAGAGATATTTCAGGTGAAATGGAAAATAGGCCATCAGTGAAGGAACATTAGTGGCTCCCACTCTGGAACAACTGGCTGACTGAAAACTTGGACAACCTTCCTGTCCCATTTGTCTGAAGAAGCTCCTGGATCTTCCCCAGGGGCAGAGCTTACCAAGTCAGGGAACTCAGCAAGGACTGGGAGCCTCTGCAGGAGAAAGGACAGTATCTTCCTGGAAGGCTGGAGGTCGGGCAGGGGAAAAGGGAGGCAGCCTAACTGCAGAACAACAGAAAGAAGAAGGAACATGGCTGCATACGAGAAACTGATGCTGCTTCACAGACAGATCTACACACAAAAGGGAGAAGCTTCTTAAAAGACTCCAGAGAAAACCCATCCAACGTCTGAAGGATACTGGGATATGGAAAGCAGTTGTTCAGCTTGCATTTACATAACTCATTTCTTTTAGGGCTTGTATCGCTAAAACTATACCAATGCCGTTTGTGTTAGAAAAGATAGTTTAAAAAATTGAAAGTCTGATTAGAACATCCGGCGTGATATAGGGTAGGTAAGCAAAATACGAAGATGTGTGAAATAATTCACTCTAATTTCAAGTATGCCAGATATCGTCACAAAATGTACTCTCTAACTGGCACTTATTTGCAGCACATCTAGAATACTGCATCTAGCGAGGGGGTCCCCTCAAAAAGAAAGATGTTGATAAACTGGACTAAGTTCAGTGGACCGCCCCAGGATGGCTGGGGACTGGGGCACTTGCCCTTGAGGAGAGGCTGAGGAAATTGGACTTGTTTAGCCTGGAGAAGGCTTCAAGGGGACATAACAGCAACGCCTACGAGGAAGTTATCGAGATGATGGAGCCAGGCTCTTCACAGAGGTTATCAAGAAGTTGGAGCCAGGCTCTTTGCAGTGGTGCAAGGGTGGACAAGAGACAAAATGAAGCAACAGAGCTTCCGGCTGAATTGAAGGAGACGCTTTTTCTGCACGAAGACACCACAGCACGGGAGCAGGTTGCCCAGAAAGGTGCTGAAGTCTCCATCCTCGGAGGTTTGCAGGACCAGACTGGATAAAGCCCTGAGCAACCCGGTGCAGACCTCAGAGCTGACTCTGCCTTGAGCAGGAGGTGGGGACTGCCGACCTCTCCAGGTCCCTTCCTATCATCGCAGCTCATAGGTGATCGCAGATGGGGCTTCTACCAGCCCAAAGCGCATGAAACGTCTCACTTTCCACAATCCTAAAAATCCTTGCCCAGGGCAAGGGGCGGCCGAGGCCGCGGTACATGCGGAGGCCTTCACCCCCCCGCCCG